ATCCTTGCCTCTACATAATGCGTTTTGCCAATAAACTGCAATTCGGCGCTAAGGCTCATGAGGTGTCTATGACGGCATTGCGTATCGTTCAACGCATGAAAAAAGATTCCATCCACTCGGGTCGAAGGCCAACTGGTCTCTGTGGTGCAGGTAAATTCAGTCGATGTTTTCATTTCATCTTTTTTTAATTGATGCAATTTTATTGTTTTCACAAAAAAACGGAGACGGAGGGGAGGGAGGTGTTATGTTCCGTATTTTATTGCAAAGTTAGCTGTTCTTTTGTACACATGTTTGTTTGTGTGAGCCTAGTTATGGGCCACATACATGCGGTGTTGTTAAATTGTTTTGATGCTGTTTGTAAAAAAATCGCTACTTGTATTCCAGGTAAAGCTCCTGTTGTATTTGTTTGTTTTTTTTACTAAGAGTGAAAATTAAAAAATATATATTAATATATAAAACTATGATGAAGTACTTGTTAAACTGGATGTTAAGGGGTCATTCACTTCGGTTAGTAGTTCAAACAAACAAAAGTTGAGAAGACCTGTTTACAATACATGAAACGTATTAAAAAATTATTTAATAAAATGGTGTTAAGTTGTTGCTTCTATAAATAAGTAGGTATATACTGTTATGCACCTTTCTAGAAATTTAATATAAGTGAAATTGATATTAGTGTTTTGCCAATTTGAAATTTTTAAAACCTTAGTCAGCTTATAATTTAACGTCGATCAAGATCATATATTTTAATATCTTATAGACGAAATCCGGAAATTAGGTATTCTATTGTGAAACAACGAATAGTAAAGTTAGTTATCTATTACATCCATATCGGAACCAGTCGAAGTTCTTGAACAAGGCTAGGTTGGCCTGAAGGACAACTACTGCACTCGGAGACCTCCCTTTCCATTGTGAAAACTTAAATAGCAGACGAAGAGTTGGTAGTAATACTAATATCGGGCGTTTGTTTTGCCAATCCTGGTTCCGCCATTGCATGACATGTGCACATCACCCATCGTAAACGTTGGTGTTACCACCTTGCCGGGAAGAGAACAATATTCGACAAGCTGACGTCTTAAGTAACCGAAGCTCTTCATTTGATACGTTAACTAAGACGTGGAACATGACAGAGGTCGTTTCATACTTGTTGTTAGGTTTCGACGGCGATTTGCAACGATTCAAATGGTTTAGGAACTTTTTCCGATTAGGTTCCTCCACCACACCACCTAATCTCAAATTTTAGTTTTTCAACTCGGAGATCTGTAAGATTTACTGGAAATGGTGGGTATATTAGATAGAAAAAGTATGAAAACCTAATATACTCCATTGTTTGGAAAATAACTCATTTGATAATAGAGGGTGAGATGAAAAAACTGCAACCAACTTCAGATTGCTGTCATTTCTAAGCCACTCGTCCGACATCTGTTAAAATTATTTCAGTGACAGCTCATTATATTGTTTACAAGCGTACGAAAGAATTTTGGTGAGAATTTTCCAGAAAAAAAGGTTATTCGTGATGGAATTCAAGCGTGATTTCTTTATATTTGGCTGTAAAACCACAAGTAGCTATCGTTAGAGCACTCCAGCATTTAAATGTGAATAAATCTTTTGTGTCTCGTACCATCGCTCGTTACCGTGATACTGGTAGCGTGGCCCGACGTCAAGGAAGTGGACGGAAGAAAACAGCAACATCAGCAGAAATGCTTCGAAAAGTAAAGAAGCGACTTGATCGAAACCTGTGTCGCAGTGGCCGAAAAAATGGATCGTGAGCTGAACATATCTTAACATTCGGCAAATATTGAAAAATGAGCTCTGCGTAAAACCATTGAAATTCCAAAAAAGTGCAAGAACTTACATCGCAACAGAAAGAAAATAGACTCAAAGAGCTAAAGAGTTGCTTCGCTTGGCCGAAAGTGGTGAACTGCCGAATTTAGTTGTCCAGCAGTTTGTAAACAAACAAATTGGTCGTGTTTACTTGTCAAAGAGGTCAGCTGAAAATGTGCACCTTCGGTTAGCCACCAGAACTCAAGCGCCGGCCAATATGATGGTGTGGGCCGTCATAACAACCGATGGTCGCTCTCCGCTCGTATTAATGGACCGTGGCATCAGAATAAATGCCGAATATTATCGCGAAAATATTCTGGAGGGCGTATTAAAGCCTTGGGCAAACATTTTGGCTGCAGACCTTGGACATTCCAACAGGACTCAGCACCGTCGCACTCAGCTCGCGCCACCCAAGAATGCTTACAAAATGAGGTTCCTCGCTTCATTTGCAGCGCACAATGGCCACAAAAACTCCGGATACCAATCCGATAGAATATTGTGTCTGGATTATTTTGGAAAACAAGGTTGGCACTAAAAAATACCAAAGTGTCGATCACCTCAAGCAAGCGCTTCGCCGGGAATGAGCCAAAATACCGCAGAACAACATTCGGACAGCGTGTGACGATGTTTTTGGCCGTTTGAAGGCGATAATTCGTTCCAAAGGTGAACAATTCGAACAAATCTAAGCTTATTTTAAAATTTGATGCTTCTTCCTACTTTTTTTCTTTCATTCAATAAAATTATAAAAAATGTAAAAATTATGGCGTTTGACCATTGCACAATGGACCCACTTCCAATTTATCTGTCCAAAACTAATTCAACGTCTCAAAGATACCAACAGTGACCCCCATATTAAATTTCCGCTCGATCCTTTCACCTAATACCAAATTTAGTAGCATTTATCACGTCTATCCCAAATTCCAAATTTGGGGATTCCAGCTCTATACATTTACTCAATACCAAATATTTTTGTACAGATTTCCAAAACCATCCCTTCGCCCAATTCCAAGTTTAGTACTATTCGAACAACAAATACAAATTTCCAAACCAAATCTCAACCTCAGATACCAACAGTTAAATAAATATCAAATTTCAACATTTTATCTCATCCGAATACGCAATTTAGTACCACTTAGTACTATCCGAGCAATAATATTAGTACACATTTTCAAAACAGTATCCATATCTTATTTCCAGATACCAGCAGAATTTAAGGATTCCAGCTCTATCCCTTCACCAAATACCAAATTTAGTACCATTTAGTACTTTTTCTTCAAATATCCGACTCATTTCCGGACTTCCTACTAATCTCAAAGACATATATCATTGGTAATCTAAATATATTTTTTCAGAATTTTATCTCTATCCCTTCACTAAATACTAAATGTAGTACCATTCAGTACTTTTCGTACAATTATGGTGCACATTTCCGAAACGACCTCCATATATCCAGGCTGCAAAACACAACAGCGACGCTGATACCAAATTTCAGATTTCAAGCACTACTGCTCACCCAATAACAAAATGTATCAAATATAGGTTATTAAGCACTTTTTCTGCACTTGTTGTATTTCCAAAACCACCTCTTTATCACAAATCTACTACCAACAGGGACCCCAATACCAACATTTAAATTAAATTCACCCAAAACGGAATTGTATCAAATCTTCATTTTATATCCATAATCATAAAGAGTTATATCGTCTGGAGGTGGATTGTGAAATAATCCACTCCAGTGAGGAATGCGGACATCGAGTTGCTCGAAACTTATGCATGTTCATCAAAGTTGTAACACCTCTCCGAACTTTTTCCAAGTTGTGCCCCTATGTTTTTTGTCGAGTATTTATTTTTGCCATTCTGTACACTTTCAGCTCTGCTAATTGCCGCTCGAATGCATGAATTTAATCGAACAATTGTGGATATTGTGCGGATAGTAAAAATCCACGAATCCACTCTACGTAAAAGACTGACCGAATTTGCCGACACACCCTCAAGCGCCTTGACATTAGACGAGTTCATGTCGGTGGATTTGGAAGCGGAACAGGATCCACCAGCATTTAAGGCAGCAAGGAAAAAGGATCGGGAACGTATAAAAGAGGTAGGACATTTATAAGTCCAGGTGGCAAGCATTTTAAAATATTGAAACGTTTTCATTTTCAGATTGGCGAAAGCGAACTGACCGAATTGCAAAAAGAAATCGATCTACAACTGGAACAGGACTTGAAACGTGCCCAAAAAAGTGCTCTCAAACGTTTAACATTTGGCAAAGACGATTTCGAGGAAGAAGAAACTGCCGAATTCATAGAAAAATCCAATCTGGAAGCCATAGAAGAGTGTTTGGCAGACAATCCCGATTTATCAGAAGCCGCACCGAAAACAAAAAAATTGGTAATAGAAGGTCTTAAGCCAGACATCGAATCAATGTGTCAGCCAACAGCAAGTGAATTGCAAGAATTGGAGAAGGCCCAGTCCCAAAAAGATGACATTGGTGAATTGAGTCTAGAAGGTCTGGACGATGAAGAAATCAATAATTACATATTAACCCACGAGGAGGCAGAACGCAAAAACATTATGTGGAAAGCATTAAATGCCGAATACCTCAAAGAAATGAAGGAGAAAGAAGAAAGACTAGCCAAAGAACGGGAAGAAGGTAAACCGGAAAAGAAGAAACGTAAATCGAGGAAAAAAATCATCGGCCCATCGACAACGGCCGGTGAAGCCATCGAAAAGATGTTGCAGGAAAAGAAAATCTCCACGAAAATTAACTATGATATTCTCAAGACTTTGACGGAAGGTGGTGCCAGTAGCAGTAACAATGCATCGAGTAGTGATAATGCGCCGACGTCGAGTGGCATTATAAAACAAGAAGTTAAAGATATTAAACCCAAAGTTGATGTGATAATTGAATCGGGACCAATTCATACGAAGCATGGGTTTGTATTCTGTTCATGTTCGATTTATTGTTCGGCAAATTTTTATATTCTTTTTGTTTTTAGTCGTGGAAAGCCTTCGTATTCAATAGGTGGCCCTAGTGCAAAAATCCCCAAATTGGAAATGGGTCTGCCGGTTGGAGAACCAGAGCCAAAGGAAGATGCTGTTGTCGTAGAAAATGGTAATTGTATAGCTTACATAGGTGTATAGAGTTATAAACATTATGTGTTGCTGAGCTTAAAAATATAATGAAACACATAAAAGTCATAAAATCGGGTCGTTCCAAATAAGTCAGTTGTAACTATTGTTAATTAGAAAAATAGTAATATAACGGGTCCAAATTGGAAACGTGCGGGTTAATGAGATTTCAATATTAACATATATAAAATATGAATTATACCGAGTACTTTTCTTGCTTTAGGTAATAAGATTTGTAATTTTTCGAAATTTATTGTTGTTGTAAGTGTTCCTACAGGAAAAAACTTCCATTAAGTTACCAAACTGATTAAAAAAATCGCCTTTAGTGTAACATTCTGATTTTTGAGGTTGACCCAAATTGACAAATATTTTGCAGCTTTCACACGTGTCAGCAACAACAACCGACTGCAATTTCGAAACATTAAGGTAGAAGGATAGCCTCTACCATATACAGTCATTATAACCTACGTCATTTTGTAGACAGGGTATTGTATGACAATCTGTCTGTCCATGTCAAATTCGGTGTGGCAGCCTATTACGAGGAAGTCGAAGAGAATAACTCGACCCATCTTCTCTAGTAATATTTTAAATTTTTCAATTTCCAAATTTAGATTTTACATTTTAATCTATACAGTTAATCCATCGTTGGAGAAGTAGAAACTATTTGTAATTGAATATTATTTTCCAATCGGCTATAATGAAAAATCCATAAAACCCTGTAAAAATTATAAATCTTCAAAAATTGTGAAATCGTAATTACTAATTTACAAAGTAAATTACTGCCGAGGTATATCCTCCACCAGGAAAAAGTTTTTTCGTCAGTAACGCTTTAGATTATTCATCAGAGTTTCCATAAAGTACATCAGAATGAAATTTTAAGTCGCTTTTATGTCGTCCGCCTGCCTGACGGATAGAGCTTGCATTGCATTTTTTCGAATGATTGGCATTGGAAATGGACTACACAGTCCACGTATAGGTTTAGCCCCCATGTAACAATTGTTCTTGATTTTCGGTATTCAGAACATTTTGCGTTTTTGGTTCCTTTTCCACGAAAAATTGTAAATATAGATGCACTACTTAATATATATTAAACACTTTAGGTAAATGGGTAGGTATGGCATGTTTAAGAGTTTGTCAATCAAATTGGATGTAATATTGCTAGTCAGGTTTATAGAATATAGTTCTTGAAAAAGTCCAAAATAAGTATTTCCGAAAAATTCTACCTTATCTTGGCTCTTTAAATCGTTCAACCTTCATGCCACATTTTAGAATTCAGCTCCATTTCTTCGCATTTAATACAATCGTACCTTTTAACCTGGCCCTGATGGCGTTCCAACGTTTATTCTAAAATCTTGTGCTGATGTGCTTCACGTGCCGCTCACTAAAATTTTTAATTTTTCCCTAATGAAAGGTTATTTTCCATGTTACTGGAGGTCGAGCTTTGTCATTCCTCTTCATAAATCAGGAAATAGGAGTTTAGTCGATAATTATAGATGTATCGCTAAATTAAGCGCTATTCCCAAACTCTTTGAACTTTTAGTTTCGCGTAGGATATCTCACTACCTAAAATCTATAATTTCACCTTTTCAACATGGATTCATGAAAGGTAGATCTACAATAACTAATCTCTTAGAATTTGTTTGTCATGTACATAGCGGTTTTGTTAGTAAACAGCAGACTGATGTAATTTATACGGATTTTAGCAAAGCTTTTGATACGGTAGTGCACAAGTTATTGCTCCTTAAATTAGATCTAATGGGTTTCCCAACATCACTGTTAAACTGGATATCCTCCTATTTAGAATGTCGCACCCAAAAGGTTCTCTTTAATGATACATCTTCGAAAAATATTTATGTTTCATCTGGTGTACCGCAGGGAAGTCACTTGGGTCCACTACTATTTGTTCTTTACCTGAATGATCTTCCGAAAATTATTCGTTTTTCTAAAATTCTGATGTACGCTGATGATGTGAAACTGTTTCTTCACATTAACTCACTTAACGATGCAATTTCATTACAATATGATTTAGACACCTTCGTAAATTGGTGTAGTGCGAATGGTATGTCTCTTAATCTAAAAAAATGCAAAAAATTGTCGCTATTTCGAAATCAGCCATTACTATCTAACTATTATATTGGCTCTTATAAATTGGATAATGTTGAATCTTTCGTTGATTTGGGCGTAATCTTAGATCCTAAGCTACGGTTTCATTTACACATTGATTCTTGTGTTAATAAAGCTAAATCTTTACTAGGCTTTATCAAGCGTTGGTCAAAAGAGTTTAATGACCCTTACGTAACCAAAAGATTGTTTGTTAGTCTAGTTCGTCCAGTATTAGAATATGGTTGTATATTATGGAGTCCATTTTATAAATATTATTCTGATAAAATTGAATCGGTACAAATTCAGTTTTTAATTTTCGCTTTGCGTGGTTTAAATTGGAACCCCTCTGAACTTCTTCCGCCATACGAGAGTCGTTTAATGTTAATCGATCTTCCATCTCTTGAAAAAAGACGTTTTATGTTAAGAGCATTATTTATCATAAAATTATTACGTGGATTGATTGATTCCCCTTTTCTCACTGGTGAAATAAACTATAATGTTCCCTTTCGTAGAACTCGCAATTTTGAACCGTTAAAATTGTCCATAGCAAGAAGAAATTATGAACTTAATAGCCCACTGAGATCACTTTGTGTAATTTACAACAGTTTATGTAACACTATTTGCTTATATAGTCCCTTGAACACAATAAAAAATTGTATTCTGCATATGTAATTTTTGTTGTGCTATGTCTATGCTAATATTTTGTTTATGTAACCTTATATTTATGTCTTCTTAACTCTATAAGCTCATTTTTACGGCATATTATCTACAACTCCCTCCGCGGAACCAGTAGAACTTCGCCTTTGAGCACCAGTTGTACATGTTATATAATGTTTGTTTTACTTCATCAAGCTGCTTGATCATCTGGCATCTGATCTACAATCCCTATGCGGAACAGTAGACGTGGCCAATGCGCAGTGCTTGTAGATTGTTGCTTTGTAAATTTATGTTTACTAATCTGTGTGTGACTTTTAAAATGTCTTTTGTATTTTAACCACTGGCTGATGTAGTTTCTGTAGCCGGTGTAAAACCATTGCTAACCTGCCTTGGTCCGGACTTTGGTGTGTACGCGCTCTCTACGTCATAGGGAGGTTGCCCCCTCGGTCGGCAGGGGCGGGTGTGAGAGGCGTGGGACCGAACGAAAAAAAAACCTCATGGTAAAATAAGGAATGTAAAGTCATTTCAGATTAACAGATTGATTTCTGCATTATCTGTAGTTTACTCTGTCGAATTTCACTGCATAGAAAATAGGTTCTTATCTCTGATATTTGTAAACACATTGGATTTATAACTATATATTTTGACAATGAAATGTTGTCAAGTGGGTAATTTTGAAAAAAATATATATAAGAATACGAAAAAAATTTTGGCTATAACAATACAAAATCTAGTATATTTAGTACCAATAATGCCATATGCCAAGATAATATTATAGAAGAACAATGATAATATTATAGAAATTTGGCTCCAGAACAAAATATTCCCTTAATGCCAACTCATGCTACATTTCAAAATACTATCTCTTCTCTGTCGCTACTACCATTTGGTACATTTTAGTATCAAAATTGTATACTTTTTAAAACGTTTTTCGTTTTTTTTTATAGTGCCAAAAATCGAAAATATAATATTTAGTACCTTTTTAGAACATATTCCCAATCTCAGCACCTTATCTGAGGCCTCTCACACATTTTCACATTTTAGCAATATTTACTTTTTTATATATTATATGCTATGGTGCACTAATTGTGGAATAATGAAATTATATTACTTGTTTCATTTTTAAGCTTTTAATTTCCCATTTTGGCAATTTTTTCCTTTTTTAAATACCCGATGTCAAAAAGCTTGATGCTCGTTGATACGTATTTGTTTGGTTGTAAAGTGCGTAAATGTTTTTTTTTTTTAATAATCTACTTGACACTTATAACGGGTTTTCATATAAATCTAAAGCCCAGTTTTTTTCTTTTTTTTTAATTTTAAAACAAATAAGCTAATTCATATAAATTCATGTACATATATATTTTCATACTCACCCATATTTCTCTGCTATTGTCCATTTTAGATGATATTGAAGACGATGATGCCGTTGCTGAAGATGAGGTCGAGCCAGAACCTGAAAAAGAATATTCATCGCTTAAGGATATGCTCAATGATGGCAATGATGATGATGACTATTATGGCTATGATGAAGATAACTACTAGGAATATGAATATCCCCACATACGTACATACATGTACACACATGCGGTATAGATATATATTTATTTATAAGAATAATATAAACAAACAAATAACAAAGTCATTGATTGCTTTGCTTAGCTGTATGGCAATAGAAGTCTGTTGTTTTTCCTTTTGATAATATTAAACAATAATAATAAGTTTTTTTATAATTTAGTTACCATTCATATGGAAAAATTTTATTTAATTCTTTTTTTTTTTGTGTATTTCTTTCAATACATTCGACTTCATTGTGATTATGATTGTGTATCAATTTTTTTATATTCATAGCTACCATTGTATTTTGTTTTATTCCTATCTTTTTTGCATCTTAAAATAGTAAGATTTTAGTTTAATTTTCATTTCATTCTAGGCTTTAGATAATAAATAACATTGTAATACATATTGTGTATTTGTATTTTCGCAAAGAATAAATATCAAATAAATTGGCATTCTACATAAACAATTGAAGTTATCTTTTTTATTAACTTTTCTTAGGGTATGAAAACTCCTCCAATTCTTCAAAGGAAAACCTCGATTAAGAAGAAATAAATATTATTTAATGATAATCTTAAGCAATTCAAAACGATAAAATTATAATTGCAAAAGAATAATGCATAAGTCGATTTCGCTGAAAACAGATATATTTATATAGAAACGAAACCACGAGTTGTTTAACAAAAGTAGAGAATGACACTCCTAGAAAGAGAAATACATGTGCAGAAATATGGCCAAAACGACGCAAATTATAAACATATCTTACAATGATGTTAAAAAGTTTTTCTATTTTCATAAAATGCTCATGTGTTGTACCAGAAATCACTTCAATACAATAGGACATTACCGAGAATAACGTAGAAAAGGCCAGTTTTCCTTTTATAAAGAGGGGCAAATAGAAATCAGTTGAGTGTAATTTTCGGAGCATATTTATAACTTTGGGGTACAATGCTTCAATATGCAAAAAACAAAAATCAAGCTTAGCATCAAGTACAACACCTAAACAATTTATACGGTCAACAAAATCCACTGCTACACCATTAACATGTATATCAATACTCCTATTCAGTCGGCTAGGTGGGCCAAATATCTAAGATGATTATTACTTAACCTAATATTGTATTTATGCTATTATCTAATTGAAAGCTTGATTGTCCATTAAAAAATAAATGAATGTCGTACATAAACGGATGACAACCGCAATTAGATAGGATACTACTAATAATATTTATGGTCCATTTCTATGTACGTTTATTTTTATATTTTTAATCAATTTAGAATTGGTGACTATCTTTCTATATTGTGAAAAAGTGGTTATATTAGGTATTTGCATGGTAGAATAACAAGGTAACCCTTTCAGGCCAGCTGTTATCAATTCGCCTTTCATTTACACATAAGAAAATTGTTTCATGATTTCAAACTTTAACAATGCTTTTGATAGAAAATCGAGATGTTACGTTTTTATAGAGTATGAGGGAAAAAGTGTATATTCATCATATGGTAGGTATAGGTAATATGGAGATCTAAAATTCGTGGATATTTGAAATAAGTGAAACCGGGAATCAATTTCATATAGAAGATAAACCGATACATGGAATTTCATCATCTTATTTGTACGGGCTTCAAAAGTGAAGATGAACGATTCCAGAGCATATTGGATTGGTTTAGGGAACAAAACATTGGCAATTTTTTGGGGTGAAATTAAATATTGAGATAATTTTTTTTAATTCAAATTGTTCGAATGTATAAAAGTTATCCTGTCTACTATACATGTCATAGCTGAGCAAAGAATATGCGTGGACTCACAGTAGACTCAGCCCCCTGTATCTTCTTCAATCTTTGATCCAAATCTTAAGAAAGCGTGAGGAGTAAATATACCCTAAAGTGCCTTTTAGGTAGCATGTCACTACATTGCTGAAAAAGCGAGAAAGCTGACGTTTTAGCAAAAGAAAAAAGGGTACACCTCAGAACCACCACAAAACCAAATTTTAAAGCATCCGGATATTTTCTTGTAAAGAACATTATCGCTGTTGAATGTGAAATCCACGTTGCCAACGTTACCAAGACTGCATGCTGTGTAAGGATGATGAAGAGATAACAATGATTGGACATATATTATCGCAAATATCCTTCGTTGGCGTGCTGGAGACTACGCATTATGGGCGGTCACTCCATTTCCAGTCTCTGTGATTTTCAAAAATGTTGTATTGAACGTGCTATAATCAAACCAAGGTGCAGCGGCTACAGCATTACTTTCAATCGATGTTGGAAGTTTTGAATATTTGCTTTTGTAATAGAAAAAACAACAATTTTGAAAATATTTAATTCAATATTTTGATTGGAAAAACAATTTGCCCCAAATTTTGTACTTCAATTCGCTCTGACTACAACTTTGACATATAAAGTTTCCAAAAAAGTTGCTTTGTTGTAATTTTCGCCTATGTTGCTACCTGGTATTTCTACCATGGGTATTTGTCTACAAAAACTTCAATTACAATACTTAATGGTTAAGCGTTAATAGTTCTATATACCATGTTGACCACACTGATTTTATAATAGCTAGTGGATATTGTTTGTGAATATTGTAGGTTTATTTGGCATACTTTTAGGCGTAAAATTTTCTTCAAAGCAAGTAGCCAAAAAAGTTAACGAAAAATATATTTAGTACATTTATAAATAAAGCGTTACTTATAGATGAAAAAATCACTGTAAAAATAACCCTTTAGGGACTTTTTATAAATTCTGGACTTTAATGCAGACCTTTTATGAGTAGAAAACTTATTCACATTTTTGATGGTGTCTTAGGCTTTTAGGGGTAAGAGGCTTTTATTGATAGTAATAATAAATAATGTTGTATAGTTTTCAGGAACGTACTGAGGGCGGGGCTATACGAACTTGGCGCCCTATGCGAACATGGTTATTTTTGTAACGATTATTGTATATTTTAAATGGAAAATAAATTATTTGTCTAATTGACTGACAAATTTAACTCCACCATTGTATGGAGGGTATATTAAGTTTATCATTCCGTTTGTAACACATCGAAATGTTCATTTAGGCCCCACAAATTATATATATTCTTGATCAGCATAAAATTCTATATCGATTTAGCGATGTCCGTCCGTCTGTCCGCCTATCCGTCTGTGGAAATTACTTTAGCTTCCGAACGAAATGAAGTAGGTTTATACAATTTTACTTAAATGTGTATTATATCTTCTGGACCTGTGGTATTGAAAATGGTTCATGTCGGTCCACGTTGTGGTATAGCTCACATATAATGGTACCTCCATTTTTTTGGTGATTTAAACGACATTATTCACCGGAAATGTTTCATATTTGCTCCCATATAACGGTACCTCCTTATATTCGTTATTTTGATGATTTAAGCTACATTATTTACCGAATTTTTTATTCAAGTTTCGCGTTTGAATATTGTAATGGTTTATGACAAAAGTTGCCTATACAGGTCCGCGTCGTCATATACCCTAATATAACGGCTACATTCGGTATTTTTAAAATTTTAACAGAATTTTTAACGGATTTTTTTTTGTGAAAATTGCCAAAATCTTTCCAAACCGTGGAGTGTATTCAAAGATCGGCCCGGCCGAAGGTATAGCATTTTTACTTGTTATATATACTTTAATAATCTGCTGGATATTCCCCGTATTTCTTTTTGTGTTGCAATTCGTTTTATCCTTCCGCTTTGAATATTGCGTTATAGCTTTGAAAATCGTTGTAATGATGCAGAATGTGTGCTAAAATTGCGTACGTATTTTGAAAGAAGAGAATGAAAAAATGTCCTGTTTTGGACACATTAAGTCAGCACGCATGCATTGAAAAGCCAATGCCCTCCAAACGTGTAACGGTTTGGTAGGGATTTGGGTCCAGAGTCATAATTAGGCCATTACATGCCACACAACCGAAGCTAGACTCGATGTTTTGCTCACTGTTTTTAAGATCGCATTATCAGCCGCAGATCTGAAGTCGATTGGCCTCATCGGTGCTGCGATTTGACACCATTCTACAAATATTTGTGGGGGTGCCGTCAAATGTAAGTATTACGCCGGCAAACCAAAGTCAATTGACGCTTTAAAGGACCAATATTCGGAAAGCCATTGGTGAAATACAGGTGCACATAATCGATAATATTCTTCTTTAAAATTGGATCGTGTGGGGGTACTGCATGGTCAGGCGAGGCAGCCATTTGAATGAATTATTTCAATTACAAACCAGAAGTTTTGTACTTAAAAAATAGGATTTTAAAACAATATTCAGCAGCTTTTTTAAAGCATTGTACTCGGGCTAATCTGAACAGCAACAATTCTATTTCATTCCGTTCGGAAGCTAGAGTGATTTCCAAAAGCAGCCAGAGAAATCAGGATGGTATTTTTTGCTAATAAAAAATATATCCATTGTCTGGGGGGTAAAATTGTTGTTTCGAGGAGACACAATCGTAGGGACAAACTTAATATACCCTACATATTATGCTGGAGGATATAACAATAACGTTAACTTATTGATGTCCAATTGAAAGTATTCATAGTCAACATACCTTATTTTCCCTTCATTCGCTTTGAAAAAGTAATTTTATTAAGCAAAAATTGCCTCGTTCTTTTTGTTCATTTAAATTTGCATTAATGTTGTCGCCTTAAATTCTTTCAATTTCTTTAACGCGATTGCACTTGTAATCAATTTACTTAACCATTGTCATGATTATTTTACAATTCGGTGTGATGAAATCACCCACACACACACAATCTTCATTCATTTTAAATCGGAGCAATATTTATCGCAACCACTTAAAAAAAAAACAAGAATCCGCCACAATTTGTTAAGGCAGAAATGAAGCGCACAGCCGCCACATGATATGTCGATATTATCACATGAATAAACATTGATTAAACGTTTATTAAAATACAGTTAAATTGCGATTCATTGGTCCTTCCATTGTTATTATTATGATAATCAATAATTTTACAATTATTAAAGCAGAAAGTGGTCGACAAATATTGGTTGAAATATTATTTCAACGAAGAGCCAAAAAAATGCAGTTTTAATGAATCATAATAGTTAGTCTGCATTTGTAATATTATCTGGAAATTTCTTGTTGGAATATGATAACAATACTTATGAGGAAATTAAATTATATAAATCCATAAATGTGGTTCGTTGCATACACATAGAGTTTTACATTACATATTCATATGAGCTTTGTTCCAGAACCTGCAACATATTACTATGTTGTGTAATTTTTTACTTAAACACCGTTCTTTATCTTAGAATTTTACACTGATCCAGAATATATATACTTTGTAGGGTCTATTATAAATATTTCGAGGAGTTACAAACGGAATGACAAAGTTAACATACCCTCCATAGAATGGTGGATGGTACACAAATTTAAATGTTCTTTCAAATATAAGTAGATTTTTATGTTTTTATACGACGTCATTCGGAGGTTATTATAAT